CAGTCAAACCTCTTTATAACGGTCCTCTTTATAACGGATTTTCGTTATACCGAACAAATTTTTGTTGCTGTTTTTTTACTAAATAAAAAAAATCCGTTATAACGAACTATATTAATATAATAATAATAAAACCTCGTTATTCCGTATAACGAACATTTGGTGAAATTTTTTTATATATGGTATTATCTCCTTATACCGAACTTTTGTAGATTTAATTGCATATTAATTTGTGGTCATATCATTATTGATCTTCGACATTGCCTTGATTAACTTGTTGAAATTCATACAACGCGTTTTTTAAAGATTGATCAAGATTTAAATCACCTTTCAAAATTAATTCTTCAGACCCCTCCAATTTAATATTATCTTCATTATCTATAGTATTTTCATCCTCTTCTTCATCTTCTTCACCTAATACAGATGTATTATCTAAACTTTCTAATCTATTATTTTATAAATTTCCTAAATACTCGATGCCATTCTATGATTTTATGGAACAAATGAATGTCCCCACCATGCTTGCGTTTCGTTATATAGAGGTTTTTACTGTAAAATTTCAACATCAATCACCAAAAAAAAATTTCGGGAAAATACACTTGAAAATCGTTTTGAGCGAGTTCAACTTGATATTAATATTGATTTGAATTATCCGCTTTATTTGCTTTATTCGTTTTATTTGAATTATTTGAATTATTTGAATTATTCATTTTATTTGTTAAACTTTCAATGTAACTCGAATACATAAAATAATTCAGATAAATCTTATTCAAAATAGGATCTATTTTTTATAAAATTCATCGTCTCCACAAACTTTTAAACACATGCAAACTCTTATAGTTCCAGATCCTAAAATATAACACCTTTGAGTAATTTAGTCTATGCCTCTAGAAGAAACTCAACACTGATTGCTATAATAAGTTTGAAATCAATAAATTCTTAATTCTAAATAAGCAGTGCAAAAATTTATAATGCCAAGTAATTTTTAGACCAAAGCTCCAAATGATTTAGTTTTGGTTTGGTTCAAAGAGTAAGACGAAACCAAACCTAAATGAACCAAAATATTTGGAGCTTTATGCATACCCCAACGGAATGTCTCTTAGTGTGGAGATAATTTCTCGAAGTCACGTGTGATAATTAAACCAAAATGGAAATTATTTAGATTTTTTTTTAAAAAAAAAAAAATCATTTTTAACATGCCAAGTCTTGACATTAATGGATTACCACAAACTGAAGAGGAAATTGATTTTACAGATATAGAAGAGAAGTATAAAGTTTCTTTTGAAAAAGGGCTTGATACAATTATAGTAGTTGATAATGCACCAGTTGTTGATCAGAGTAGAGTAGCTAAATTATTAACTTTTATAAAAAAGATTTTTAAGAATGTTGGCGAGATTAAGGAAAATGGCATTTTCATGCCAATGGATCCTGAACCTGAACCTGAAACTGGGAAATTAAAATCAAGAGGGTTGATTATTTTTAATTCAAATGAATAATTTTTACAAAAAAAATGAAATTTTATTTTGACTTATTTTATTTATATCTTTAAACATATAAATAGATATTTATTCATTGAATTTGAAACTCCAGAACAAGCTAGTCTAGCAATTAAACAGTATGATGGATATCCTATGGATAAAACACATTACCTTGCTTTAAATCATTTTACTGATATTGAAAAATATTCACAAATTGAAGAAGAATACAAAGAGCCAGAAGAAGAAAAATTTGTGGAAAAGGTTTTGTTTTTTTTTCTTATTCCCTTTGATAATTTGTTTAACCAAATTTGATTTTTACTTAATTTGGTTTTATATTCGTAAAAAAAAAATAATTTATATTAAAAAGGAACACTTAAGGAGTTGGCTTACTGATCCATCTGCAAGAGATCAATTTGTTTTATATCATAATGATGACGTTCATATTTTTTGGAACAAAAAAAAAGAGCCACCAGAAGAAGTTTATAAAAGAACTGTAAAAAAATTTTTCTTTAAAATTCAATATTTTTAATAGTAATAATAATAATATATAATAATATTGATTTTTAGAATTGGACAGAGACTTATGTTCAATGGTCACCGTTAGGAACATACCTTGCAACATTTCACAGACAGGGTATTGCTTTATGGGGTGGATCAAGTTGGAATAAGATTACTCGATTTTATCATCCTAATGTAAAACTTATTGATTTTTCACCAAATGAAACTTATCTTGTTACATGGAGCAATGAACCAATAAGCTTGGGACCTAATGGAGGCCCAGGAATACCTTTTGGACCAGATGATGAAGGAAATCAAATTATTATATGGGATGTTCGCTTTGGTGTGTCGCTCAGATCTTTTCCTTCCACAACAACATCACCAACAGGTGAACTATCATCTCAAAAAATCATATGGCCAATATTCAAATGGTCTCCAAGTGACAAGTATTTTGCTCGAGTAACACAAGATCAACAAATATCTGTTTATGAAACTCCTGAAATGGGCTTGCTTGATAAAAAAAGTATAAAGATTGAGGGTGTAATGTTTTTTGAATGGGCTCCGACTTCTGAAAAATCCAAACAATTGGGTGGGAAAAAATCTGAAGAATTTCTTTTAAGTTATTGGACACGTGAAATTGACAATCAACCAGCTAGAGTTACTCTTTTGAAAATCCCATCTAAAGAAGTATTAAGAATAAGGACTTTAGTTAATGTTAAAGATGTAAGTGTGTCATTTCAAATCATTCAAAACAAAAATAAATACAAACATAGTTCTATATTATTATAATAATATTATTATTATTACCACTGTTACTACTACTAGTGTAAGTTGTATTGGCAATCAAATGGAGATTTTTTGTGTGTTAAAGTTGATCGACATACCAAAACCAAAAAATCAACTTATGCTACTTTGGAAATTTTTAGAATAAGAGAAAAAGATATTCCTGTTGAAGTAATTGAAATAAAAGGTAAAAGGTAATTTACAGAATTATTTAATATCTGATTATATGTTCATAAAAAATTTTTTAAAAAATTTTTCATCAAAGATACTGTGATAACTTTTGCTTGGGAACCAAATGGTGAACGTTTTGCAATTATAACAACAAATGATCCTAATTATGGACAACCTGGAGTTGCATCAAGAACAAATGTATCCTTATATTATCTTGAAAAACCCAAACCTGGGAAAAGCAGTGTTGCTAATTTTAAACTTATTAGTAAGTCAACTGATATCATTTTTTTCAGAAAGTGTAAGTTGTATTGGCAATCAAATGGAGATTTTTTGTGTGTTAAAGTTGATCGACATACCAAAACCAAAAAATCAACTTATGCTACTTTGGAAATTTTTAGAATAAGAGAAAAAGATATTCCTGTTGAAGTAATTGAAATAAAAGGTAAAAGGTAATTTACAGAATTATTTAATATCTGATTATATGTTCATAAAAAATTTTTTAAAAAATTTTTCATCAAAGATACTGTGATAACTTTTGCTTGGGAACCAAATGGTGAACGTTTTGCAATTATAACAACAAATGATCCTAATTATGGACAACCTGGAGTTGCATCAAGAACAAATGTATCCTTATATTATCTTGAAAAACCCAAACCTGGGAAAAGCAGTGTTGCTAATTTTAAACTTATTAGTAAGTCAACTGATATCATTTTTTTCAGAATTACCTAAAATTTTTTTTGATTTTTTTATTAAATTTATTAGAAACTTTGGAGAAAAAAACTTCAAATTCAATATTTTGGTCTCCACATGGTCGACATTTTGTTTTGGCTACCCTCAGATCACAGTCAGTTTTTGATTTAGAGTTTTGGGATTTGGATTTTGAAGGATTTAGTGGTGAACGAGGAGAATCATCAACAAAGAATGATCCAGCTGCATCTATTCAACTTATGAGCACACAAGAACATTATGGAGTAACTGATATTGAATGGGATCCTACTGGTCGATTTGTAATAAGTAGTTCTAGCATGTGGAGACAAGGGGTAATAAAATTTTCTCAAAAAAACAATATATTAAATAGCTCACATTAAAAGATGATTAATTAACTTGAATTTATAAATTAATTAATAGAATGATAATGGATACACAATATGGGATTTCAAAGGCACATCATTACAAAAACATTTAATAGATAAATTCAAACAATTATTATGGAGACCTCGCCCTAAAAGTTTGTTGAGTAATGAACAAAAACAGAAAATCAAAAAGAATCTACGAGAATATTCTAAACAATTTGATGAAGAAGATACATTAGTGCAAACATTTGTATCTAAAGAACAGATAGCACATCGTCGTAGACTTATGGATGAATGGAATGCCTGGCGTAAGCGTGTTGAGAAAGAATTGAGTGAAGAGAGAGAAAAAGCAGGCTTCAAACCAACTTCAAAACATGTTGAAGAAAATGTTGAAATTGTTGAAGAATGGATTGAAGAGGTTGTGGAAGAACTTGAAGAAGTTATTGATGATTAAATATAATTCTTTTTTTCCACCCACATTAATATTTCATATTATTAATGAATTATATAAAAGAATTCTCCTTGTAATTATTATTTTTTTTTTTTAAATTGGTTGAATGGGGATGAAAAAATTTTTTTAATGTTAGTTCAAATTTGGTAATCATATATCTATTGGTTGAGACCCTCTCTCCAGGACCCAGACAATCATATTTGAGGTTACAATAAATATCCCTATTTTTTACATATCACCTTAAATTTTTTTTACCCAGTTTTAGCATATCACAAAACCAGGCAAAATGGACCAAGAATTTTAGGGATCAAAATTAGTCATCACAAATGTAATGAGATTAATATTAACAATTTTATAATGGTTTCATTCGTTAGTTTCTTAAGTGATATATAGTGTTGCTCCTAGATAAAATAATTAGTATGAAACTCATTTATATCAGATCTATTATGGAAACCAAGTATTTTGAAGAAAGAGCAAGGAGAAAAAGTTGTACCTTATGTTTTCAAAATAAATAATACTCATACACTTGAAACTTAACTAAGAAAAGAAAGGATCATCTATGCAATTTACCAAGAAGAAAGAAAAATAATAAACACTAAGAAAAGAACATTAATACAGAACCACAAAGAACTCAGAAAGAAATGAAAATCAGTAGAGAAATAATTTGCTGTCTAATTTTAGAATACAATGAATATATTATCTTTTAAAGATTAATTCGTGGTCCACCGATCAATGATAGAAACTCACTAATTAAAACCGGGAGATCGACATATAAATTTAAGAAAATGTATCGAGTGACAAAAGTTGCATACTATGGGAATTTTGTACTTTCATTATGCAAAGTCACATGAAATCATGCAACTTTGTAGATAGGAACTTGGTTTTTTCAAAAATGTAAAAT